AGATTCAGATTTTCTTGTGTGGTGCTGTGTAGCCAAGCCCTAAGTTACAACGGAGGTGAGAGAACATGAGTGGGTGTTTTACATGAAACACTGGCACTTCGGCTAAAAAATATTTCAAAGAATGATTTCACAACGACTAGAAAGTGCTTTTACAGAACTACTTCCTCATTAAGTAAATGTGCAAAGCAATTAGCTTCATGTACTGACCATTTGTGCTCAATGATTATTTCTCATTGAGCAAAAACTCTGTGTATGTGACCACTGCGTGTGGCTGCACTGATGGGATTCAGTACATTAGAGGGTGGTTGCAATACTTTGTTGAATCTGGTTTTAATGAAGGAAAAGTGAACAAAACCCCAGAAATGGAGTAATTTTAAAAATCGAGGCTATGTGTTAAGGTCAGTCTAAAAATGAATTTTCAAGTGACCAACGTTATTATATGTTAAATAGCTGGAAAGGAAGGATTATTAACTGCCTGAGTGAAAAAACAAACGTGACCTGCAGTTAGCGTCTGTCTTTGTGTCCTTTTTAAATGCTGTCCGTGCTCCTTCTTTTTTTGAGGTGATGGACAACACAGAGATCCATGTGGTGCCCAACATCCTGATGATGGTGGGTCTGGTCTCAATTGGCACCAACTGGGTTGCTGGCCGTGTGTGTCTGGACTCCTTGGATCCAACCCGCTTCCCGCGTTGGAAGATCTTCCTGCTGGTTTGGTTTGCTGTGGCTGCAGTCATCTGTTGTCTTCTTATCGCTGTTGTGGTCCTAGCCTACGCCCTGCAGGGACGCCTGGAGGAATCCCTGAAGGTAGGGTTAGTTAAGCTGGGCTGAAATTGAACCATTTTTTAAAATTATTTTCATGGAGCTGCTAGAAACTCTGTCTTTGCCACAGTTAAAAAAGTCATAGGTGTGAGAGAAGATGTCTGAGCTATAACCTAAAAGGAACAGTAACAACATATTCCTGCAGAAAATAAGATGTGAATTCATCTGCCTGAGAACGATTCTGTCTGTTTTTGAAACACTACAGTTTTGTCCTGGTTAAAATATTGTACTCAATGCAAAACAGCACAGTTATCAATAATATTGAAGTTTTCCACATAAAGTAAAAAAAAAACACACATCTACTGTATTTTCTTTCTCTTCCAATTTTTCACCCACTATCAGATTGGCCTCAGGAATGGGATTCGTTTCTACAAGGACACAGATGTACCTGGCCGCTGTTTCCAGAAAGAGACCATTGATCGTCTGCAGATGCAGTTCCGCTGTTGTGGAAACAACAATTTCAAGGACTGGTTTGAGGTTCAGTGGGTCAGCAACAGATACCTGGACTTCACCTCCAAAGAAGTCAAGGAGTGAGTGAAAATAATAAGATGGCAGGGTGGCTGATGTACTAGAAAACAACAACAAAAAAAAAGAAAATGAAATGATGTGGTAGGCTGATAAATAGTTCACATCACACTAATGTTGACTGTTTACTAGAAGAGTGCTGTCATTAAAATGATGGAAAACAAAGACATTTTCAACCTAAAATCAGTTACTTTGCTATATTTACATCATGTGATTTTCATTGTAAACTTCCCACCTGTCTCCAGTCGTATCCGGAGTAATGTGGATGGACGATACCTGATGGATGGAGTTCCTTTCAGCTGCTGCAACCCCACCTCCCCTCGGCCCTGCCTGCAGTACCACCTGACCGACAACACTGCCCACTACAACTACGACTACCAAACAGAAGAGCTCAACTTGTACACCCAGGGCTGCAGGCAGGCTTTGACTGACTACTACATGGGTCTGATGAATTCAACTGGCCCCGGTGTGCTGTCCGTCATCATAATACAGGTGGGCCACGTGAGCAACGCTCTTCTAATGTGAGAAAAGGAAAAAGGATTAGAGTTTGTTCCTATATTTATTTTTAATTTTTAAACCCTAAAAACACAGTGATGGACTTGACTCTGGTGTAAATAAGACAATAGAAATGAATAGAAGACAACTTCATCTGTTCATGTCTTGAATGTAATGATTTGCTTAATGGTGATTTGCTTTCCCCCCATTATGTGACTGTCCAAACAGCCAATAGCTGTACAAACAGGTTCTCTCCAAAATAAGCATTAACTTGACCACACGCACAGAATTTCAAATAATGGCTGTGGCTTTCACTGCTACTGCGACCAACAAACAAATGTCCTACCATTGATTTCTGTCTTAATCAAATTCCCACTTTCATTCGCTGCCAATTATTGATGGCTTACTCGGCTTCACAGAACAAACACGACCTCCAGCTGGAGCTATTAAAGGCGGTTAAATGTGTGAATCTAAAATGCAAAACACAGACTTGGAAACAGTCAAGGTTTCGGGGTTAATCATCGCGCAAACTTTTAAGTTGGCAGAGGGCTCGACTCTGAAAGTAGAGCACAGATGAGTGGTACACCAGGGTAAGGAGGCGCAGAGCAATCAGCTGAATCGGAATCAGCAGGACAAGGCGGACGGACGTTAGAGGTTGTCTGAATTCTGAACACGTGTTGTCTGAACTGACAAGGAGAAGGAAAAGAAACGTAAATAAACATTTCTTTAGTTCAATTACCGTCAGCATATGACACATTGGAGAAAACACTAGTGACTAAAGCCAGGAGATTTGGCTGCAGGGGGCAGTTCACAAAAACAACAAACAGGAAGCTGAGAGAGATCCTAACTTGATATTGATTTGATATGATATGATATGATATGATATGATATAATGATATATTATATAATATAATATAATATTAAAGATAAACACATCACATAAATAGATTTAAAGCTAATATAATGTACAGATTGATATACCCAAAGAAAACCAGTGTGCCAGTGGGAATAATTAAAAAAAAAAGTTGGACCAAGCGGGGAGGTTAACTGGTGACCCTCTGGTTGAGACAAAACAGCACAAAGCACCAAATAGTGTTGGACAATCAGATATTTTAAAGTATCTGCTACAAATCTAACCACATTTCATGTTTATTCCATCTCTGTGTCCAGGTGTCAGTGATTCTGAGTCTCAGATACCTGCAGACGGCTGTGGAAGGAGCCATGGCCCTGGAGAACCCAGAGGATGACAGTGAGGGCTATATCCTGCAGAAGGGAGTGAAAGAAACATTCGAGGATGTCAAAACCAGTGTCCTCGACATGCTAAAGTTCTCCCAGGTCGACCCCACCACCAGCAAGGGATCCCCTGAGGCAGAGGATGCCTCCTCTACTCCTGCCAATTAAAAAAAGAAGAAGAAAAAACATCACAGATAAGTGAAGGAGGAAGGGATGGAGGTGAGGAGAAAGGTGGTGTCTGAGCTCTTTAGTTTGTGAGACGGCTAATGTCAAGACAACCACACCAAAACATGGCAGTGAATAGGGAACGTCATCGGGTCCTGCACAGAAAACAATCGAAACATCCTCTCAAGTACATACCAGTTTAAGCAGTAGCAGATATGTTTAATGATTGTAGCAGACATATATTTTTTAATATTTTGATATCCTGACATACATTTAAATCAAAATGTATAAAAAAATACTTTTCTGTTATTTCCAACCCTATAACTTGGGTTACAGATTTGTAGTCTGTTTTTTGCTGTAATAAATGCTTCAAAAGAAAACATATGTACACGAAAAAGTAAAAGTAGAAGTTTTTAACCACTTTGTAGTGTCTGTCTTCGTTTTGTTACATACATTGAATTTAAACTGGAGTATATAAGTAGGTTTGGGTGAGTGTGTTTGCAGTGTGAATGTGTATGTGTGAGGTGTCCTATATGAAGCATTATCTTTTCCATTCTGGCTGCACAGAAACAATCTGATAATCCTGGTGTGGTTAATCCCTGAACTGCTGGACAAGCAGTATCCACGTGCATACAGGAACACACGCTATCACACAGAGACAGAAAGCACACACAGACATGATGATTCTTATGTATCCTGAGGCTAAATTATTTGACATTTATTTTTAAATCAGTGTAATTTGTCCACAAAATGTGTCTCCCCCCCCTCACCTGATGACAGCTTTGATTGGCTCCATCTCCTCTTGTGACCTTAAAAGGAATTAAGCAGAGCATGAAAATAAAATATGACTTAATTTTACTATTTACAAAACCTGGCAAGAAAATAAATAATGCATCCTAACCGGGAGCCAAGCTTAAGATTTTAAATGGCAAACAAAATATTTCAGCACATATATTATCCCTTTTTTATGGTGATGCCTATAAAGCTTTAGAAAGTTTACACAGGTGACACTGTGTGATTCTCCTCACAGTTTCTGTAAAAAGCATAAAAGCCTATAGACCAACATACACCACTGGAATTGGAAACATTGTGTACTCCTGCTCGTTTTGTTTCGCCTCACCCTGTTATTTTATTATCAATAAACGATTAAACATATCTCAAAACTTGAGAACACCCGATGGCCGGTGGAGGTCGCTGTTGTGCAGCTTTTAAATATGTTGGAGTTCTGCTGAGGACAGGAGAAAACCACCGTCGACTTAGTAGTTATTTAACTCCTGATTCTGAATTAATTTAATATCTTCCTCCAGTACAATACGGAGCGCGTGTGTGGGCGCGTATGAAAATAAAGATAAAAAGCGTTTGCAGTTATTGACCGTGTAGGCGGGTCTTTCCGTGTATGACTTTTTAAGATGAAGAAGGAAAAAGGCAACGTGAGTTTTGAAAACTCCGGTTTGGTCTTGCAATGACGCGCTGACACGCACACAAAGAGAGGGGGAAACAGGGAGTGAGAGAGAAAGAGAGAGAGAGAGAGAGAGAGAGAGAGAGGAACAGACAGTTGGGTAGGAGGTGGAGGAGGAAGAAGGAGGGAGGGCCGCGCAAATGTCAAAGTACTTCACTTGACACAAGATGGATCCTCTCTGATAATGTTTTTTTAATTATCTCTGTTCCGTAGGCTTTATCAAGTCTACTAACACAACAATGGACTCTAACATTACGGAGATAATAGAGGAATTCATGGAAAGTGCGTTGGTGCAATGGGTACGTCATTTATCATTTATCACCTCCTGTTAGAGGAAAGGCCATCATTTCAAGAGGCAAAGAGGAAAATAGAATAGGAGTACGGTGTAGAGCTTTTACTATAAAGTCGATGAAATACACAGCCAGAATATAAATCTCTAAAAAATACAAAATTATTTAAAATAGGCCACAACAAGTATATGATTTGTTAATAGATCCAGTAGGTGGCAGTAATCTAAGTTAAAGGTTACCAGCTTCCAAAAAAGTAAATGACAAGAAGCAAGGGGGGAATCAGCTCAAACAACCAGATTTACCATAGCAAGTCAAAAAGATTTTAAAATAATTTTAGGCAAGAATGAAGTATGTGATAATGTTGTAGGGATGTAGGGCATGGAAAAAGGAACAAAACTGTACTTGTATTAACAACAAACCCTTACAACTACTACACATACATTATACATTGCGATAGATGAATGTATTACTTTATTTTAAATGAGCTGTTCCAATAATATTATAAACCACAGTTATTTTGGTGGAGCAGTTTTAACATTTTGTCATTTCAGGCAGTTTAATAAGTTTAAGAAACATTGTTTCCCAGTCAGAAAATGCCTTGTTATCTTTACAAATAAAATAATTCTTCTCCTCTAAAGGAGAAAGTATATACAGTAATAAATAGATAAGTGTGGCAAGGATAGGAGCTGTGTTACTGTGTTTCTCTTTTGTACACAGCAACAACTTCACTTCTCCTTTTGGCAGCTTCCTTTGCTTCCTAATAACCTTTTTTCTTCTCTACCAGCAGTGATACTTCCTTGTCCTTGGGCAGAAAATAATACAAAGTTAGGTCCTGTACTTTCAGGAGAATATAGTCTCGTTTAATTCAAATGAACCTTTGTTCTTGCTATTTTTTTTTTTTTACATGGAAAACCATTCAGCCCTCTGGGATTTGTCCTCCTGGTCAATGGGCAGTATTTATACAGTGCAATCCCGTGTTTAACCTTGCAGGAATATTCTCTTTTATTGTAGCATATTTCTAAAAAGGAGGTTAGAGGTCAGATTCAACAGGATGCCTGCAGCTGGCAGAGCACAGTATTTGCCCAGGGTTGCTTCAGCAGGGTGGTCATTCACTGTGTTGTCACAAATGTTGAAGGACATCCACTGCAAATGCTGTGCTATTATGTCACACTGGGTGACCAGCTTCTCTTTCTTGCTTCCTAAGCTCAGCCAGCAGTTGCTGTGTTTACCCACAGTGTACTTTTCAGAAAATGCAGGTGGGAATAAAACCTCATTATATTGCAGTTTGCATTGGCACAGCTCTTTTGAGCAAAAAAATGGGAGAGAGGGAGAGAGAGAGAGAGAGAGAGAGAGAGAGAGACCTTGGCAGCAGGCTTGCTTGGCCGCCTGTCACAATGAAGTGCTTCCCAGTGGGAGCGTGCAGATCCCACCTGTATAGACAGGTGCACCGACTCAAGTGGCTTCCTGTGCGAAAACATTTGCACCTCTCCATCTCTTTGTCTCTTTTGCTCTCTTAGGACCTGTTTTCTGCACCTGTCTCGGCCTTCCCTGTCTTGTACGCCTCCTAAAGCCCTCAGTCTATGATCCTCATTTTTTTTTACAGGTTCAGTTGTTTGAGAAGACGGTTGAGAGTGAGCATGGCGGCCCGCTCCACAGTCAGTATATGGAGGTGAACTCAGTTTCCCAGAGTGCTCTGGACCGCTACCTTGGGCTGACCAGTGGAATTTTCCTCAATGAGGTCATGAGGGTTATGTAAGGTTCCTTTGACCTTTTTCTTTACTTCCTCACATCTTTGCAAAAAAGTGCAATTGAGAAACTGCTTCACTTTACGTTCATTTGTAAAAGACTAAACTTTATACTGGCAGTCCAGTCTGTTTCCTGCAGTATTTTCTTATTTAGCCCGCAACAGTCAAAGACATCGGGTCTTTCATTGTTTTCAGTCTAGAGGAATTTTAACAAAGACTCAGTGGCTTTGCTCTTCACCCAACTATCCACAGCAGACAATGGAAGCTTCGTTCTGTTTTTCTCCTTGTTACAGTTAAAAGGCAGAAAGCCCAGTCTAAAAGTTTAACGCCAAGTTTTAGTTACCTAGCTTTGTTTACAATCGACACAAGATTTTACTGTAGACCACTGACACACAGACCTAAATTAAAGAAGAGGTTTGCAGTGTATTATTGATTTCTTTAATTGTCTATTATCTTTGCTCATAACATTTTATCTAAATTTAATTATTTTATTATTTATACTGTAATACAGCTACTCTAGTAACGTCTAATTGTTTGTGATCGTCACACTGCTTTTAATTGTGTCAACATCCTGTATTGTTTCTCATTAATACCAGGTCATTAGTACTGTCATTGTTAGTTTATCAGCACATTAATGTCGTGACTCAGCGGCTGCAAGAAGTGTGCCACACTCTCAGCGTATAGTTTTTACTTTTTAATATAAAAATGCAGTTGTATTTCATTTGGTAAAATCATTTTGTTTGTGGCAGACAGCATAAAAGAAGTAAATAGATGACCCGAATGTATTTGTCGCAATTTTCTTGTAAATGATGAAAAGAGGTTTCATTTGGTAAGGTTCTGTATATATAAGGTAGAAGGTATAATATAAGGTATATCCATATATACCTATTTCAATTTTCTGCAGAACGAAACCTTTTCTATTTGAAATGGCAAAACCATATTCAAGCCAGTATTTGCTGAACAGCTGATTCATTTGGTCTGACCTACGCTGCTCCATTTCAGCAAATAACTGTGTGAGGATGCTGGCTGCCTGCATCACAGCCTCATTAAAATTTTATTCACTCCCTGCTCAAATGCAGTGTTGCATAAAAATTTCTCATGTAGAGAGACGTGGAGTCGAGGCTGTTTGATCAAGCTGCAGTAAATACACAGACTTGTATTTTCTTTCTACCTCCCAGAGACCCCAACCCCAAAAAGGAGCGACTTTACGAGAGTGGACGAGATGACCACATGCTGAGAGTACAGAACTTCTCCATCTTAAACCGACACCTCAGAGCCTTCTACCAGGTAAAGAAGGGGAGGCTGGGAGGAGGGGAGGGTCACGGGAGGAAGGTCACATCATCACATGGGGAATGATGTGCTGAGATTGGATGAAACCAACTGAATGTATAATGAAGTTAGACTCAGTTTGATTCTAAACTGATTTTTTAAAACATTGCAGTTGGTGTGTGAATAAAATGACAATCTATTACCAACTGCAGCATTTATGAGCAATAAAAACAGCACTTTACAAAGGAATAATTAACTGATCAACTAATGCTAATGCTAATGCTGATTGTTGAGAGTAGCACTGCTGTTATCGACTATTTTCGTACTCAATTAATCTACCGATTACAATATTTGCATATTCAAATAAAACAATAATACATAAATAAACAAATCCCACAGTTTAGACATTTTCTGCCTTTGTCTTCGTCTAAGATTAATTAAAAAAAACAACAATATTAAAAACCATACTGTATCGTGGCATTAAAAGACCACAATGACACTGCAAAATCACCACGTTACACCACCTTCACCTCCACCCATTATTCTTCACTGTCACTTCCTTCCAAGTTTTCTTTTGAAGAAGAGAAAACAACTCAAAAACAAGAAGCTGCAATTTTGTTTTCAAGGACTTTTTTTTCCATTTTTACAGACAATCTCAAGGCACTGACTTACTGTCCCTTGTAAAAAAGTGGTTTTATTGACATATTAGTTCAGTCAAAATGTATCCTTGGTCTCTCTCACGTTCATAAAACATACCCTATTAACGGCGCTAAAAAGTAACGTTCTCATTTTTCTATGTTCATTTGGATAAAACAGCGACACTAACCAATATTTATTAGTACGGTTTAGAAGTAAAGCAACCTATTTAAGATTTGAGCTAAATTGAATTAATTAATCAGTTAATGTTTAATGTACCACTAAACCAAAGTACATTGTAGGTTAAACACTTGGATTGTAGTCTGATAATAGAATTAAAATGTATAAGGAATACTGTGAAAGAAAGAGTGAAAACCAATGGGTCCCTCACTCACTTTTTCTGTTTCATGACCTGTGACTCAAATTTCCTTTACTTGGTTAGAGTGAGTCATGATGTTTGAGGATTGTTGTGACAAAAGAATATTATTGCCATTTCCCAATTTCAAATCCAGTTTGTCATTTCAGTATGTTGTCCTCAATCAGATAACAGTGGTCACCTTATATTTCTTAGCAAGTCAAAAATGTTGTGTCTGAAATATTTTTCTTACTTTTTTGTCACAAATGAATAACTGTCAAAACAATCCATTCATTAATGGAGATATAAATAGTGTCTTATTTCACTTTAAAAAAATCCATCACTGACAAACAACTGTCATCAGATAAAAGAAAAGAAATACTCTGCTTGTGAGATGAGGATTGGCTTCTAGGTTTAATCATACTTGATAAATGACACGGAGCAAGATGCTGCCATTAGATCGGAAGGATTTGGAGGTCAGAGCAATACGATGATGAGCAGATCAGGAGAACGTTATACATTTTATTTTGTATTTTCTTAACTGCCACAGTGTGAAGGATCAGATTGAATTCGGAAAGTTTTCAATTCTGGTCTTAATTTTCTCTGTGAAGTTTTATATCTGTGTGCATTAACACATTTTAGTTTGAGACACACTGTCCACCAGGTTGGACTCATGAGGTGGTACTGAGACAAACCGTTGTCGTCCCACCTCCATCTGGTGCTTTTTAAAGCACACATTGTGAACAGTCATGTTTACTTTATGGAGCATTTTCACACTGGCACTCTCCAGAACCACTGGTGTAATGACTTTTTGGGGAATGCATTCATTATAAATAGGTTTTTGTTGAAACTGCTGAAACAATTCTGCAGAACATAACTCAGGGCCACACCAAATGGCAAGGGAGAACAGAGGGCGAGCGGAAAGGCTGAAGAGGCAGTTGTTTTCCTTTAAGGTAGTACAAAGCACAGGACAGAATGAATCTCTCATGATGCTGTGGAAACACAAAGGTGAATAGAAAGAAGATGAAAGAGAGAGAATGTCCATCATCAGTTCACGTGTCCCATTTCTTTTATCAGGATAATGGAGTGAGGCAATTTTAATGTTTTAGATGCAGAGTGTTGAAGTAGAAGAGTGAATTAACTGTAGCTCTGTATCACAGATGATTTAAATAGTGTGTGATTGTTGCCCATTTCCTTTGAGGAAATGACAATTCTTTCTTCACTTGAGGGAGGCACTCTGTTCTCAGCAAAGAACGCCCTCTTTGTCAGGCCTAACATGAACCGTCAGCTCATCAGAAAAAGAAAAAAAAAAGACCATGAACATGTGGCTACAAGGTTTCACTTCCTAGTTTTTTTTTCAAGCAAACCTCTGACGTACACCTATGCATTACAAGAAGCTCAAGACAGAAGTAATAAAGGAGGGGCTTGATAGTTAGTACTGCACAAATGATTCAGCTGCACCTGAAGTAGGCAGAGATGTTGTTGTTAATGGTTATCCCTACTCCTCATGGCCTGGTTGGCATGGTTTTACTCTCATCTTTCTGTTTTTTTTCTTCCCATCTTATTTCTGCTGCCATCTTAGTAGTTTCAAGGCAAGTCTGGTTTGCAACTGTGTCTATCATAGAAGCTTTATAAATATACATATCTGTCTGCATTCCTCACTATGGCAACTGTAGACAGACTGGAATTATTTTACAGCTTTGAGTGGCGTCTCTGTATGAATGAAGAAATTAAAATTGCCTCTCATTTGTTATGCCATGACATTTGTCTCCTTAGCCTAAAGCTTCCTAAAGTAAAAAAAAAAAGTATATCAGATGTTGTTTTCCAAAATTCAAACTTGCTCTTTAGACCAGAAGCCATTTAGGGGAAGGAAAAGTATATAATTACAATATAAATAGATCAGGAAAAAAAAAACATTTAACAAATACTAATAACATAGCCTGCTACAATATACATGAGTTTTTATATAGCCTATGGTAAATACAGACAAAAGAAATGAAAAAAATGAAAATGAAAGTTTATCATATATATACTGTATATTTATATAAATGTATATACTATAAATATATAGTATATAAATAGATTATTATAACTATTTGAGCTCACTTTAGTATGTACTCAATATTTGTAGTCAGATGCGGCGGCTTTAATAAAACTCCCATCTAGGTGATCTGCAGAAGTCTGTTAGACGTAATGGACCGTTGCCAAATTCTGACCAACACAGAGCTGCAGTGGTTAAAGCCTCACATGCCCCAGAAGACGGCGCACATGCCTCTGATGTCAAATGTGCTGACAGGAAGTGCATCTCCTTCCTCACTGAGCAGTTCATAAATGACAGCAGAGAGACAGAGGGCTGGAGCTGAGAGCTGGGTCTGTGCTCTGCTTATTTCTGAGATGATTCGCAGGAGGATGCAAACAGGCTTTCATGGCAGTTGCGAGAGGAGCTGGCCAGATTCAGTATGTGGCACTTTGACAAAGGCATTTTAATTAAGACGGAGCTGTAATGATCTCTTCTTAGTTTAAGACTAATTAAACCGAGCAATAAAGTAAAGAGCTGATGACCCACTACTGTGGTGTTATGCTAAATAGCACAAATGTAAGAAGCAGTGGAGCACTGCAGGCACACATTTGTTGCCATTACAACTTTTCTGGACTTGGAATGACTGAGGCGTCTGCTGTCGAGCTTGACTTAATGTCTCTTAGAATCTGCCATAATTATCCATCATCATGAATTAGAAATTGCTGGAACCAGCTGACCGCTGTGACTTTATGACATTTTAAATTATTTCTAGCACGAGATGATAATAAAACATCTGTTTGAAAGTGTGTACGAGGAAAGACTTAAACATTTTGTGTTTAAAATTAAAAGGCTTATGAGCGTTTGTCCCATATTGCATATACCAACACAAATAGAAACAAGTCATTTTTGACGGCACACCTGAAGTGTATTGCCCTCTGCTTGGATTTTCTCTTCTTCCTGCCCAATGTAGATGTTTTGAGGTGAAAATATTTACCAGTGAACAACAAATTAGCTGGCACTAATGAGCTAGCACTAATTAGCTGGCAACCTGAGGTATGTCAGGACGGACCAATTAAACTTCAGCTGGGTACAGTAAAGATCAAACTTAAGAGTGACCAAGACGTGCTGTTAAAAAACAATCTTTAAGCTCTCGTTTTCGTGTCCTCAGATCTTTTCCATTCTGGCCTTGTTCAGTCAGTGAGCCTGTTTACAGTCGTCCTCCTCAGTTTGTTGTTAGTCACAGGTTCTGGTGGCTGTACTGAATTGTAATCTGTGACTGATGCCAGGCTCTGTTAGTGTACTGTGTTTACTTAATCCATATCATTGGAACACAGTAGTTATGATGACAAGTCTCTGTTCATATGAGATTGTTGCGCTTTCAGTGATTTCTTTTCTTCTGTGATTCAGTTCCATTGAAATAATCCTCAGAATAACCTTTACTACGATCATCAGTGGACAGGTAGTCCTCTGGGAGACACATGGCGGCGTCACACTGATCAGATATCAGCTCTGTGTTTACACCACAAACTGTAGCAGGCTGGTGGAAAGTTTCACTTCTGTTATTGTAGTCACGACTTGGACCAGCTGATCTTCCATGTGGTGTTGAACTCATGAAACTGTTGTCTTCTTCAGGAGGACTTGCAACAGTTGATAATGATGTCACTGCCAAATGTTGCCATCCTGGGGCAGGACCCTCTCACAGGTACTTGATCACATGATCCCCTCAGTCCATACCACTACTGTCAGTGAAGCTAATTAACGTGGTAATCAAGGGAAGAATGATGATGATGATGATGATGATGATGATGATGAGGGTTATTTCTGTGTCCTCAGAGGCAGCTGTAGAAGAACTCAGGCGTCTGCTTCTTCTCTTACTTGGATGTGCCGTGCAGGTGATGACGCACAGCTGTGACCGTCAAAAGTCAACACTGACACCAGTGTAAATCTTACTGAACCAAGAAGACAGCCCTTATTTTCCCTGTTCTTAGTGCCAGTATTATTTTGTTCATCAGTGTCAGACTGGCAAATATTCTATTGATAGTTTGGCTCAAACCTTTGCTCCTTATTAAAATAATCACTGCATGGAAATGTTTGACATTTTACAGAACGTGAGAACATGACAAAAAGACTCAGAGCAAAATTAGAGGGTAAAAAAAGCCTGATCATTTAAACACCTGTTATAAACAGTGTCTATTTGAAATAACATCAGCAGTGGTAAATTTCATATAGATAACTGCCATAATCAACAATGGTTTTTTAACCAAATTTTGTATTGCATATAATATTTGTCCTAATTAAGTTAATTTTTAACATATATTTTTTAAATAAAGTACATACATATTTTTTGCCATATTATACAATATAATTTAGTCCATGTTTCAGCCGATGTGTAAATATATAATTATGGAGTTTACCTTTCAAACTACACTATTGTACTAATTTAATACTATTGTGTGGTAAATTTACACTATTCTAAAAGTCAGTCTTAGTTTTAGGCACTTCATGGTTTCATAAGTTTCACTTTCATCTTTTTATGCAGGACAAATTTGGACGTGTTAGTAGTGTTTAATTTAACTGTTATAAGAATGTATTTGTTACCGTGGCAACCCCCGGTTGACACCATACCTGATTTCCGTGGACAACACCCTTCAAGTTGCCTCAGCAGCCTCTGGTGTAAGAACTGTCAGTATGACCATTTCAATTCTGGTGAAGTCTGAGGAAAAGAAGAGGAAAAGTTGATTCTTTAAAGTTAAATTGATTTTTGCCTTGTTACAATACCTTTCAGAATCCCTCATTTGTTGGCATGGCTGCAAAAGCTTATTATTTTATATGTGTTATCTGTATTAACCCGTTACCACACACAAACACACACACACACACACACACTGTCATCGTTGTATCCCTCTGTGTCTGCAGTGTGAGAGGAAGGAGACATTCATTCAGCAGATCCAGTCTTTGGACATCCAGACCCAGGTGGCCATCGCCAGCTGTATTCAAGAGGTGCATTCAAGTGCAGACTTAATCCAAAGAACACGTTCAATATAAAAGTCCTCTCTGTGCTGATTACCACTACGGGCAGAAATTGTCCAGGGGAAACACTTCGAAACCTATTTTAATTTCTGAGTATGATTAAGCAGTGAATTGCCCAGCTGTTTGGCCTGTATCCCCTCAGTCTGCTGGCTGCTTTTTTAAAGACCTCTGGGCGGCTGCTGCTTCAGGATGTATCCCACACTGCTCCTGTCCCCTTCTCCACCTGTGTCATGTCATCCTGTTTCCTTCATTTCTTTCCTGTCACCCTCCACCGTCCTCTCCAATAAAGCATGGATGCCAAATTGTACTCTTTTGAAAATACCCCCTGTGGATAATTGACGGTATTACAAAAACAGCATGTTGCAACCCAGCGTGCCTGAATTACTGTAACAGCATGTTTCCTTTCCATTGCTTTTTTTTTCATGCATGCCTCCTCAGTCTCATAAATCATAAGGTGAGGGGTGCTCTTCCTGTGCACCTCCTGCTCGCTGTTAATATGCCATCCACCTGAGGACATTTCAAACCTGTTTACATTATTATTAGTTTTGCATGCATTAGTCCGACGTGTTTGGACACTCTTCCCCGCACAGAAATGAACAGAGGAACATATTTTTTTAACTTTAGACACAAATTACATTTCTGCTTGGAATTCACTTGCCTTGAAATAATTTGGCTGCAGATCTGCTGTGTTGTGTGACAGTTGAGTCGCTGTCCCTGCTGCAGGTGACTCAAGATCCTCGAGTGGTGCTGCCTCTGCAGTGGGAGGAGCTGATGGAGGTGGAAGGTGCAGACCTACACCTGGTGTTCAGCTCCATGGCCAAACAGATCCAGAGCCTGCTGGCACAGAGAGACACACACCTGGAGGTTATACACACACACACACACACACAGAGGCTGTGAAATATGTGTATCATCATTTTGTATGATCATTTCTTTATATATAATCAAATTAAGTTAAATACAGTTAACTTAAAAATTAAGTAAACTTTGTTGTTGTGGTTATGTATTCAATATATATATATTTGGCAGTGTTTGTAAACATACAGCACTCAGCTACCCTGCATCCCCTGCAGGTGGTGCTGTGATGCAGTTTGAATGCGTCAGTTTGCCTGGTAACCAAGTAGACTAATATTCTTATTTTAATCAGACTATGTGCCAGCACACCTGCAGTTCTACCTACTTAAATTCCCTGTTTATGTTAAATGATATTTAAAAGTGTTCTCTTATATATAAATATATATAAAAAAACATAAAGCACAAATTAAATCAGAGAAGTTAAAAGTAAAGTGCATATAAATATAACTTGGTTAAGTCAAATAATCCCTGAAGAAGCCGCCTCACCTTCCCATCTTAACTAAATCCTGTAACCACATTAAAAAAACCTCAATTTAATTTTCTTAAATGTTTTTATGGCTCTACTGCCACGCAAAATGTCAAACCCACAGCCCACAGAGGGCAGATTACAAACAGAGAAGAGCAACTTTAAATTAATTTTACTGAAGCGCTAATGGCTTCAAACTCAAAAAAGACTATTATTTACGTTCAAACGATGCAGAATGCATTCTGCTTTTCCTATAGCAAACTGTCTGCGAGGATTAAAACATATTAATTTTTCATACTAATATTTCTCCTTTAAGTCTCCCATTCATCATTATGCATGTCTCATTTTTCATTTTTCCCTCTCTGCTCTTTGTCCCTGGCTGTGTCCATCCACTCTCTCTGTCTCTCACTGTCTCCCAGAGGATAGCAGAGCTGTGTCGAGAGCGTGAGGCTCAGGCTGACTCAACCACAGGCCCTCTGGGTGGTCACAGCACGGAGCCACCTCAAGGTCTGGCACTCCAGCTGGCAGATAGCAAGGCCAAACTGCGCCGCCTTAAACAGCAACTGTGAGTGTGTACATCTGTGTGTCTGTGTGAAATAAAAAAAAAACCTCTAAAGGACCTTTGAAAAAGTTTGGATAACATAATAAAGAAGATGTGCAGCACTTTAAGAATAAACAAAGCTGTGGGTTGGACCTTAACAGACCTTTCTTTTCCACAGTCTGGTTCAGCTGGTGTATTGACCAGAGGAGGCCGTTAATCAGTTAGATTTAACATCCTACAGTTCATATATCAGAGACTCAATAAGCTGCAGCTGTACTGCTGCAGAATTAGTCCGAAGGGATTGATGGAAGATGGCAAATATATATGGACACTGTGTTTGATTGACAGCCTGGTTGTAGAGGGCATTTGTTCGTAAGCCACACACTCCTGAGTGTCCATTCTTATGAATTGTATCTCATGTATTTTTTACTGTATTGTATAATATTTTATGAAATCATCAGTCATCGTGGTTTACTGAAGATGACTCAAAACTAGAAATCATAGTGTATTAAATATTACGGTTAAATGTAATGGAAATTTCCATTTTTTATTTAGGCAGGATAAGGACGACCAGATATTAGACAACAAACAGGACGTCCAGTCCCTGGAGGAACAGCTGAAGAAACTACAGAAGGAGGTAAAGACACTCGACCTGAGCCAGAAGATGAAATTATATATAATGAAATTATATATGTATATATGAAATTTTATGTGTATATATATATATATGTACATATATATATATATATATATACAGTGTGTGTGTGTGTATTTAGGGGATGGAAAATGTTATCATGTTATGTTATCATGGCAACAGATGGAAAAAACAAAGAGGAGACAAAAACACAATGATCTTACAGAGGCATTGACTACTGTATTACATTTTGTGTTTTTTTAATTATTTTATTTACTCAAAAATGAAACTAAATTTCAATTAAATTAGATTTCATGTCTTAGGGAATTTTCTTTTCAACATCTATTTTTACATGTGCAAAGCCCAAGCAGTCATTTTTATTTCTTAATTCTTCCGATATTTGAGTGAAATATAAAAATATTAAATATGAAATGATTTTAGTAGCAGGACGAGCAGATGGGTAATATTCTAGACACAGTTTTCCTTAACTAATAAATATAAAAATATATTACAAAATAAAAAGAGCACACACACACACACAAATTATAATCCCACAATATCCTGGATTCTTCAATGTGATCTGTAGAGCACTGATATGATATCTCACGCACACACACACACACACCATATTCAATCTTTTTGTACCAGACATTGTCAATATTTACTTTACATCATGTCCCAGATCAGTGAACAACCTTTTCTGACCTCATCCCCGCTGCTGTTTGAATATGTGTATATGTCTGTGTGTCTCCATACCTGTGTGTGTGTGTGTGTGTGTGTGCGTGTGTGTTTAGCGTATACACTCAGGCGCGTGAGAGAAAAGGGTTTGAATCCTTACGCGATGAGCTGGACTGTGCACGGGAGCGGGCTACACGGGCCGAGCAGCTCCAGAGTGAGCTCCAGGGTTGTAAACACCGGCTGCGCAGCCTGGAGCTCACACGAACTCAGCTGAAGGTACACACACACACACACACACACACACATTCAATCACACCCTTATTGATCATTTGTCGGTGGGTTGCAAACGCTGCCACAAAAGCTCGGTATAATTTTCAACTCCACTGTATTTGGTGAATATAATGTATGGAAATACATGCAGCACAAAGCATATGCAGACTGCCTTTATATTCACAGACGCACACGACTGACACAGTGAGGTTTTCACATCAGTAAAACTGGGGAAGGTCACATCAAGAGGATGCCTTTTAAAACTGCACCCGCAGTAGCTCTTACTTTTTCTTTAAAGTAGCAGCACTAAATCTAAAAAGCCGTATATTTCCCGTCACGGCAGTGAGTGTTGGTGTCAAGAGTAAGTGTACTGTATGAACCAAGTCAGAGAATAACAATATATTGTGTGAGGTCATCAGGATTTACAGCCCTGAGTGGCTTCATTGACAAGGAGCGGGAGTATAGCTTTACTTATTGGAACTTTTACACTCAAACGAGATTTATTCTTTGGCTGTATAAATGTTCTCAGGTGAAAAATGTGCACATATTCCTGTAAGACACCTCCGTGTCCTCACCGTCTCCTTCTCCATCTTTAATAATTTACTCTGCATTACTTTGACAGCCGGACTTAGAAGGCTTGATGAAATTCCCCTGGGTTTTGATCCATGATTAATTTTGACAAACGCAGAAGGAGAGCAAAGGAATACTAACATGCAGATGTTGTGACATTTTAAAACTGCATCAACTAAAAATCTTGATTATGAGGACTTAGTCATCATTTCAAATTCACTATTACTGTAAATGTCGCCAAAATGAAAATCTATTCATCATTCATCATCAACTGTTGCCTTGTTTAATTCTCACCACTGCTGTGGTAATGACGTGTTTTACTGGGACATCACAATCTTATTCTTTTTACTCTGTTACTTTTTCATAAAACACGTCTATGTGTAGGTTTTCTTATTACACATATGGCATTTCCATTCATACACTCCATACAGGAATGAATGGCATGTTTGACAGGAAACGTTCAACTACTTTTGTGAGCAATTTAACACTGTAGTACTGTACTCCAACGCTGCCTGTTAGACCAGTGTTCCATCATCATATGAACCAGTGGTTCCTAGTCTTTTTCTGCCGGACCCCAGAGGGGCTGCGCCCCACTTTGGAAATCACTGATGCTGATGATGGGTTCTGGCTACTGAACATCAGACTACTCTACATTAAGTCAAATTTTTGTCTTAAAATTCAAATGTTATTTTGAAGCTTCAACTGTTGTCAAATATTGAGTATCGGATGTCGTTCTTAATTATAGGCCGTATTTTGCTCAAAACAAAAAAAAAACAAAAAAAAACAGGACATTCCGTAAAACAGACAGAATGTTTTAAACCAAGTACAGCAGCCTACGTCTCAGTTATGGTGCCAGAACAATAGATTTATATTCAACTTATTGGAGAAATAAAAACATATTTAAAAAATAACTTCTCCTCCCAGACAGTAACTCAGTAAAAAGGTATGGAACATTTTTCAGCATTCTGCTGTCAGTTACATTCCCTCCATACTTTGTAGTGTCATCACAATGTTCCACAGTCAACTGAAGACAGTCAAAAAATACTTTTTTCCCCCACAACAGTTTCAATAAGGAAATTAATGAAGGTAAAAAAAAAACATTTCAAAGATCGAACTCTAAGGACTATTTTTAGCGCTCTAAAAACTTTGCGGTGCTCACCCTCCAATATGTAAGAACAACGTGAAGCGTAGATCTATGTGGGTAGGTTGGAGGAAGTGGTTGTGATGTAAATGAACTGGTTGCTCATCTCTTTGACATGATGACATCTCCACTAATTATAATGTCATTTCACCTCTGCCTGTGTGTGGCGCCCCCTGCAGGAGCAGCAGCAGCTGTGTGCGGCGCTGCAGGAGACCAAAGCTCTTCTGGAAGAACAGCTGTCAGGTGCACGGGCACGGTGTGAATCAGTAAGGGAGCTGGAGAGGGACAATCATTTGCTGCGGCAGAAAATCATGGTTGTGGAAGCGGTGAGTGGAAAATAATGCCTTTTATTATAATAAGGTTGGTACTGTAAATGTGTCCAGGTATAATTGGATGATATGTATGGTTATGTTGAGAGACTTGGAATAACATAAAAAAAAAAAAAATCCTATTTCCGCCTGGAAATTTAAAGGGCAAAGAGCGAAACATTGAAGAAAACAAAAATAATTGTACAAAAGACGGCGGAAGGACTTGAACCAAGAATAAGTGTCAAGGTATGATAAGAGAGAATAATAATAATAATGCGTCATGCTAATGAGGTAAATGTGCAAACACTGTGGTAATGGTCTCCCTTCATAGTGTAATGTAACAGTCATTAGGAGTTTCAGGTTGTAGCCATAGAAAATAGGAGTATAGAAATGTTGGCCATTAAGAAAATTGGAACGTTGCATTTAAACAAAATATGACATTGTTCATGCAAAAAAAGAGATATTAAAATACAATAATATTACAATTGTATTTTTACCTTAATACTTGAAATAAGCACAGCTTCCTGTGATGGACTAGTGAACTCCCCTGGGTGTCAGTGAGGATGGGCTCCAGTTCTTCCCTGTAATCCTAGAAAGTATTAAACGGTAGAGAATTAATGGATGAATGGAGCACCATTTTACATGCTTGAAATATCATTAGTCTCTGATTTTATATTTCTAAAGAAACATTAAAAACATCTGAATTTTACAAATGATTAAATGCGTCAGAAAAAGGAATGAAACCCAGTAATACATTTTTTAGGCGTCAATTACTAAACGAATTCATTTTTGAAATGTTTGAAGATTTTTTTTTTGGACCTCTGGCCTTGTTAATAAAATGTCATTTTTTGAAAGTGTAAAAATGCTTCTTGAAACATAACTGGTGTCAGTGACACATTTATTTTGTGTCACGGCAGAAGGACATGGAGCGTTCCAGTTTAATGGCATCAGTGATTCTGATTATTAGTGAAGGTGACTTTAGATTGCAACATTCAATGTTGCAATCTAAAGTGAGGATGAGATGTGTGAAGCCTGAACGACACCTAAAGTTATTGTGAACAATAACAACTTAGCAGTGGAAGCCAGAATCAACCAGCTTACTTTGCGTACTGTGACTTTTGGTTAGCGTTCACGTCTTAAAACCTGTGACTTTTGGTTAGCGTTCACGTCTATTTAGGGACCGTCATTTGGAATGGCAATTGAACTGTTTGCCAGTTCCACAAGCTGAGATTGTAACTCAAAAGCTTTAGCATTCAGAGAAAAAGAGTGGGTTGTATAAAAAAAATCTTGTCACAGATAAAAAAAAGATAAAAACTAAAAATGAAGTTGGAAGTAGAGCCAAATGAAACTTACAATAATTCTCAAACAGCTACTGCCACTGGCAGCATTCTTCAATTTCCTTAATGTTTCTGTTTCAGAACATATAGAACAAAATTGTCCAAATTACCCATAATATTGCTGAAACATATTTCACTGAGACAAAGTGAGTGACTGTTTAGAAGTTAATTTATTAAGTAAATTTGTATTTTTGTGATGTATTGCTTTTCCTGAAATAAATGTGTCTTTGTGTGTGTGTGTGTAGGACAGAGATACTGAGAGGCAGAGAGTGGATGAGTTGCTGGAAATGAACATGAGCCTTAAGGCAGACCTGAGGCTGAGCAGCAGAGGCGTTGGTGGCGGCAATGGCGGCGGCGTTGATGAGTTTTCCGCAGTTCACAGAAGGTTTCTCCAACTGGAACTGGACTCTGATGAGGAGCTGAGCACACTGATTGGTTAGAGCGCCTGTCTCTCTACACCTTGTCATTTCAGACATTTTAATTAACTGATAAAAGAAAATGAGCTGAGATATGACCGGCCCACAGGCGATCAATTATCAATAATCAAGTAAATCTCCCAATGTGTCCATTTCTCTTCTTTGTCTGTTTCTTTCTCTGTCTCTGTGTCTTCATCATCTCACGTCTTCTCTAAAATCCCTCTTCCTCCTCCACATTTTCTTCTGCCGTCCATTGTCTCAGATCAGAAGCCACTGAGCGTGGAAGTGGATGAGGCTTCAACACTGAGGCTGCTGGGAGCAGAGCAGGAGAACGCGGAGCTGAGGAGGCGATTAGAGGAGCTTCGAGTGCTGCAGGAGGTCAGGGCACGGGGGCTGAAGGTCATGGCTCTAGAATTTTTGCCAACTTGCTGTAGGTCTAAAATCAAAGCAGGTCATAAACAGGAAGGAAAACAAGATTTCTTTTTTAAAAATTAAGGAACAGAAAGTCATATTTTTAAATCAATAACGTTTCTTTCTGATTTTCTGAATAAAAAAAGATTATCAGGCATGACAACCATAGCTGAATCACAGATGTAATAAATATTATTGAGCTGAACAGCAAGACAAATAATGTACAGTCTATCTTCTGTCACCACAGGCTGATTCTCTCTTAGATACGAGAAATGAACGGGCTGGTTTGGAGGCAGAGCATCAGGACTTACTAACAGAGGTGAGAACAAATGTACCTGAGATGTGCTGTTAGCTGTTAATTGGATTTAGGCCTATTTTACAGACTACGTTTGAAAAAAGACATTACACACTGAATTCATGAACAATATAAATATATTAATACGTCAAAAGTGACTTACTCCTAGTGAACTACCTGCAGTGGGCAGTGTAGGATCAATAAAGTTCAAATTATATTATTATTATTATTATTATTATTATTATTATTATTTATAACTAATCACCTCCATGTGTGTTCACTATTTATTTGTACTGACTTTTGTTCTTTTCAAGTCAAGAGAAAAAAATAATTGAAGGTGTGAAAAGCACTAAAGTCTGTCTCCTGTCAACCTTTACAGTTTCACAACCTGAGGAATCAAAATGCCTCTTTAAAACAGCAACTGGAACAAGTGATGATCAACATGCAGTTACCAGAAGTCAAAACGAAGGAGAAAGGAATAAAGAAGCCAGAGAAAGGGAAGGAGGAGGAGGAGAAACAGGCAGAGAGAGGAGTCCAGGGATGTGAAAAGAGCAGAGGAAAGGGGGAAGGAGGTTTGAAGGAGGCAGCGGGGAGGGAGAGCAGAGGGGAGATCATTGGGACTCGGAGGGAATCAGGAGTTGGTGAGGAGATTCTTCATGCTCAGGAAGAACAATGTGATGGAGGAACAGTAGCCAGAAGAAGGGGGGAGGCAGAGGGAGGACGGAAAGAAAAAGAGAGACAGGATAAGGAATGTGAGCTAAGAAAAGACCTGCCTCTTTTAACAACAAGTTCAGGGACCAACATGCATCCACAAAGTCTTGAAGTTAAAACCGAGGTGACAGCTGAAGACCATGCTGCGTGCTGCTCACCTTCTCCTGATGTGGAGCTTTTAATAACACAGCTCCAGAAGGCCCAGGAGGAAGCTGACAGGCAGACATTAGTGGCCCAAGAACTACACTCCAAGCTGGGAGAGCAGAGTAAGAAGACGTGGGAGGCTGAGCAGAGGCTGGTGGTCCATGAAGCAGAGCTGCAGCGCCTGAAGAAAACCGCCGAGAGTCTGGGAGAGGCCCGCAGGCAGATAGAGGTATGGATGGAGGGACTGACACGTGAGTCTGACACTGAGAAAACGAACCATTAAATGATTATACATTACAAAATCAAATAGGACGAAATAAGCTGGTAATGAATGAATGACCTAAGTTTGTTTCATCGTAATTTCCAGACTATGGAGCCACTGGAATATAAGCCGCACCCACTAAATTAAAAAAAAAAAACAACAACTGTACATATATAGGCTGCACTTCTCTATAACCACAGGTGTCCATGTTGTAACATGGGGTATTTACACAGGGACATTAGGTGCCCCTACTGTAGTTGGAATCCACAGGGGAGACTTAGTGATCTGCTCCAGGTTCAAAGCTAACATTAGCATTAACATTAGCCTATCAGAAAAGTCATTGCTAGCAGTGTGAACTTTGTTTGCCCATAAAAAAAATCCATAAATTAGCCGGATCATTGTTTAAGCCCCAGGGTTCAATGCGTGTAAAAAATTATCGGTTTATAATCTGGAAATGATGGTAATTACTTAAGAGGAAAAATCTGGCAAAAACAGACTCATCTGTACCAACAGGTTTAATAACGCAATATCAATGTAGTTTTAAGACACACTAGATACTTAAAACAGCTTTGTTACCACATGTACTGTGTTAAAGTACTGTGTAGTAGGTTATTGATTTACTGAACTGATGACGGTAGAAGCTTTGTGGATTATTTTCATCTCAAAGCCCTTCTGTGCACTGCTGTAGTTTTCCAGCAATTTCCCAGAGGTGCGTAATTTCACCCGTCATTATAGAAAACAAATTGATTTTTCCTGGGAGCTGGGCATGAATAGCAACATAATTATTGTATGTTCTTCTATAAAATGCTAGAATAGGCTCTGAAAGGAGTCGGTTCTAATCACTTCTGTAGTACCATCAGCTTATTATGCAGATGATATTTACATCAGCCGCTGCTGTAATTTGTGTTTCGGCAATTAACACTGTGAACTTTGACCTTTAACTGCTTCATATTCAAATCCAGCTCACTGCAGCGTTACAGTTTTGATGCTCTTTGCTCTGACAGCATCATCCACAGTAGTTTATTAACAGCACATCAACAGTTACTCAGCCAGGGTTATTGTGCCTCTCTCTCAGGTTCTTCATTCTGAAGGTCTGGCCATGGAGGAGGAGCTGTGTCGTCTCAGGAGCCAAGCAGAACTCCACAGGATCCAGACCACGGTCATTGCCACCCTGGAGGGAGAGCGGGCCACTCTGGAGAGAGACAAGGAGATGCTGCGCAGCACAGTGGACGCCATGCGTAACGCACAGCGCAAGGTTGGCTCATACAGTACTGAACATGAACTGACCCGCAGCATTGCAGGGAGAGATGTATTACAGTACATTAGACAAAGGGCAGTAAAAACTTTGTTATGATGTAACATGTATCATTAATCTTATTTTTCTGGCAGTGTCAATATTCTGTGACTACTCCTGTTTTGTCTCAACAGCAGGCCTTCAGACAGCCAGTGCAGAGTTTTGTTTTTAAACCTTGAATTTACATAATTATTCTCATACTTTTATATAAGACGCAAATTATTTAGTGACACCCAAACCATGTCACACTTAATCACATTATACTCCGGTGCAGGGTGTACAGGTCTCTGTAAATGCGGTGTTTAATGGGGTTGTAACAGTAAAAGTGTGAGACAGCATGGAAACTGCAAGCTAAGGAGAAGAGCGATGCTAAGTCAGCATCAAATAAATAGCATAAAAGGTTTTCATGAATATCCCCCATTCAGAGAAAGTCATACATAAGCATTGGCCTTATCTTCTGTCGTATTTTCGTTCTTTTTTTTTAAAACCAGATCCATCTTCTGCTGAGGATCTGCTAATCTACTGACCTACTAAAAAGATGTGTTTAAAGACACTAATGGTTGAGATTTGTCCTCCTTTTTTGCAGCCAACATATTTAAAATGTGCAATATATATAGTTATCAAAATAACTGTATTCTGCTCCAAAACCCTGCAAGGACCTGGGTTAAATACAGGTTTAGCAGTTTAAAATAGGTGTAGGGACCCAAGACATTTATGTCCAAACGAATTCAGTTTTATTTATACACTGCTGAATCACTACAGTAGCTGTAGAATGTCAGGAGGGTCTGGACATCATTCTCTACAATTTGTTTACCCAAACCCAGCTTTTCCCCATGAGCAGTCGCTTCACAACTCAGGGAAAAAGAGGGGAAAAAAGTCCTTTTAACAGGAAGACACCTCCAGCAGAATTAGGATGTTTGTGGGCGGCTGTCTGTATCCACAGACCCAGAGAGTGCAGAGGGAAAGGAGGAGGAGAAGGGTTGAGGTTATGGTTTACAGGGGCTCAGATGCAGACTCTAAGACAAGGCAGGTTTGTGCAGCATGGAATATTTAATAAATAAACAGACTCACAATCCCCAGGACTGCATTCAGGCTGGCAGGTTGTCAGGCAAACAGAAAGGCCTAGAACAAAAGTAGAGACAGGGGGGTTGAATAGGAACTCTGAGGTAGACCTGGTAGACTCTCAGAGCAGAGGAGAGACACCGCTGGACAAAACACAAGCAAAGCAAAGCTGATTTAGACAAACTGGAGCACAAGCAGAACCAAGGACATAAACAAACTGACAACTAGCAGCACACAGGCTCAGAACAGCAGGTACAAGGCTGTAGGTCTGTCCTCCCATGACCACCTGTTGTCATTTTGTTTTAAATAGTAGAACTCCGGTCAATTTTATTGCTCAGACAGCTCTGATTTTAGGAACATGTACAAGAAAAGTAACAAATTATTAATGTAATTATAAGTTTTAAGACGACGTTGCTGCCTCTCATGATGCTCAGAATATCTCTTCAGTAAAGTGCTCTGTGTAGATATCCTTTTAAATGTAATATCTATTTATTATTTATTAGTTTTCCTACTACATTTTCCATGTTTTCTCTTTGACCAAAGAGTGACCAAATGGAGCTCAACATCCAGACCCTCACAGCAGAGCTAGAACGTCAGGGACGAAGTTTGGAGACCTCGCGTCGACGGGAGGAGGAGCTGGAGGCAGAGCTGCACGAGGCCAGTAAAGAGGTGCAGTCTGTGACCAGGGCACGAGACCAGGCGCAGCTAGAAGCTGCACGGCTGGAGCAGGAGAGGGATGTGTGTCAGCTGGAGCTGGATGGTCAACGCAGGGAGGGGAGGCAGAGAGAGCGGGAGGTGGCCAGACTGAGGCAGCAGCTGGAGAGCACGACCCTGGCCTTGGAGCATAGCAACCAGAGAGCAAGGGCTCTAGACTCTGAGCACAGGTGTTCACACACACACACACACACACACACACACACATTCACCACTGTATGTACACTTACTTAACCTGGACCAGGAGGTGAGGTGCACAGTTGGGTTCACAAGGCATTGGGGAGAGTAATGTGATGCTTCATGCATTGACCAGTTATGTAAACTCTGTCCTCATTCAAGCTTCTGTTTGTTGCCCTTGGTGTGTGTGTGTGTGTGTGTACAGGCGTGTGTGTCAGCAGCTGTCTGAGTCAAGGGAGCTCTGCACTCAACTTCAGGACCTGGAGAAAGACCTGAGCACTCGATTAACCAGCATGGAGGAGGGTAAACAGCAGCTGCAGCAGCAGTACTCAGACGCTCAGGCCAAGATTAGCTCACTGTCCCAGGTGTGTATGAGTGTGTGCGAGGGTGCATGAGTGTACGTGGTAGTTAAGTCCCTGACAGTAATCACTGCTGCAGAGATGGAGTGAGAGACAGACTCTTTTTTTCTTATTTAAATAACTTGATGACCTTTCTAAAGCAAACCAAAATTTGTTCAGTTGACTCTAAAGACCTCTGCTAATAATCAATTTCATTAAATTCCTCTCTGAACTGTATCTGACTATTTTTCATTTTAAATGAGGTGATGAGGTTCTATTTTTGGGGTTCACACAGAGCAGACTAATTTATTATGTTCACATTAGAAATGTGAGAACTGCTTTTGTTCCATACTGCCACGCTGAGGGGAAATGGAATCTTTGCTCAAAAAGAAAATTAAAAGTGAACGAGTAAATAGGATTTTTTTTTCCTGAGCTTGTGACCTGTTGGAATGATTTTGCACTGTGTTTATTTTTATGACCTGAAGCGTCATGAAATTTATAAAGAGATACCGTGTAAAACGATTCACATCTTTAACTACATTAAAGCACCGCTCTGTTCTTTCAAAGCTTTTGGTGAGAACACAAAATATGATGATTATTTTAAACCAAATATGCAGACATATTTGTATGTATTAAAAATAATGTTTTTAATAAATTAAAAAATAAATACATTGTTATCCTTTCATAGAACTGACTAAATCACAAGAACAAAATAGTGTTTATACAATTAAAAAAACATATTTAATCCAGTCATATAAATGCATGTGCTGCATTAATTATACTTTTCTGCCTACTTTCTTAATATATTTTATTCTCTCTACATAAATCTAGCTTGGTTCAAGGTGGACCAGCCTCCGTCTAAATCTAGACAAGTGCTGTAGTTGCATAGATTACATAGCTGCAGCTCTCCAGGTTAAATAATGTCCTGAAACAGATTTCAGTGTTTAACCATTTGGAACCAAAAATCCTTCTTTTTTTCTATATATAAAGAATTGAAAACAAAGAAAATACGAGCCGAGGGCAGCATCAATGTAGTGCTCAATAAATCATAGTCTTCATCTGTTTTATCTGATCTTTTCCTATTTTTTTAAAAAATCTTTCCTGCGTTATCTCTCCTCAGGAAATCTCCACTCAGAAAGCTCGTTCTCAGGAACTCTCCACTGAAGTTGAACGCTTGAACAAGAAAGTGGAAAAAGCCGAAGCTGAACGAAAAGTGGCCACAGATTCACTCAGCCAATCACAGGACAGGATCGAGTCACTCTCCCAGAGCCTGAAGGAGAGTGAATCACTTTTACTGCTGGAAAAGAGAAGAAGAAGTACTGATGTGGACACTTTGTCAAATTCAAAACTCGACTCCTCAAACCAATCGCACATTTGTCAGACACCGACCACGGAGATGACACCTGCGGACCGGTCCCCTGGAGTCAGCAAAGGTCACGGCCTTGCCATGAGTCCTGGTGATGCCATAGAAGGGACAGAGAGGCAGTGCGAAGAGAGGATAACGGAGCTGGAAAAGGAGGTATGTGTGTGTGTGTTTTAGTATAGCATATCAGTTGAATGAGGCGTGCGGGCTCGTGTCAGTCTTTGTAGCACAGTTACAGTATGTCTGTGATGTTCAGTGTGACTTCTTGCTGCGTGAGGAGATGATCTACAATCTGTTGAAATTCTTGCCCCAGGGATGTTTGACGACTACCAGCCCACGGTGTAACTCCCACAAGTGCAGCACTTTATTTCTAAAGCTACTGCTTTATCTCTGCTCATCAGTTTTTATAATGTCACCCAGGCTACTCTTAATCTTCCTTATCTCCTTGGCTGCTCTCTTGCTTCAGCTCTTATTCTTTCTTTGTCACATAAACTCTAATGTCAAGCTCTAAGGGGTGGATCCAGCATTTTCAAGGTCGGAATTTTCTCCAATGCATCTTGCAGCATTAATGCTGTCAGGATTTAAACACAAGGCTGTCACCTTGAGGGTTCAATCCCACTATTACTGCAACCGCAATTTTTCATTTTCTTTCACCTTATAAATATAATTTTATTTTTATTTTTTGGCCTTCCAGCAAGATTTTCATACAACCATAAATAATTAACAAAATACTAGTTTTTTGTAAAAAATACCCAACAATAAAATGAAACAAGTTCATTTAAATTAAAAAAGGCGGCTAAATTGAAAAGGCTCTGGTGCTGAAAATCACAAAATTACATGTAATAATATTTTTTGGCTGAACGGATACAGTTATTTTTTCACTGCTGCTGTAGCTAAGAGAGTGACACACTAAAAGGGTGAAAATTAAAAAGAGCCAGTGACTAAAAGGTAGAAATCTCAGAATATTAGTGTCATTTGATATAGTTCTGGTTGAAAATGTGAAGAAATCCATTATAAAGGAACCTGGACTTAACCAGTCAGGCTGCGGATAATTCATATAAATGTATTGTCATGGTGTTGTAAAAAAGTAAAAATATTTATGTAAAATTCCTGAATTAAATTGTATGACCAAAAAAGAGCCATTAAAATTGTGACTACAATATCTGGATGTCACAGTAATACGTTTGGTAAATGCAGTGTAAAGAAGATGATTTACTGGGCAATCATTTTGTACAAGTATGAATTCCAAATACTGGATCATGACTATTTATAATAAATTAATTTTTGGATATCTATTTTTAGATTAAACGCTACAATTCGGATACAGGGGTCAAACAAAAATATTGAAAATAGTAATATTATGACTTCCCATTAGACATCATTTCTAGATCAAAGGGGAAAACACTCAACCCTTGGCTCCACCAGTTTAGGTCAGAATCTGATTCTTCTTCCAAAGAAAGTGTGTCCTTGTAAAACACACCTACAAGTCTGTAACAAAATATTTCCTTACCTTTAGAGAGCAGTGGCTGTAGCAGGACAGGAGGCTTTGCTGTCACGGTTGTCCCAGTCCCAGGAGATGTGCGAGCATCTGAAAGAGCAGCTGGAAGCGCTTCACCGACACTCGCTCATCCTGCAGGACTCCTGCACCCAACTGCAGACGCTCAACACCAGACTACAGGTGACAAAGACAGGATTACATTTGAATTAATATCTCCTGCATGGAAACAAAAGGCTGTGAATTTGTTGTTTACAATTTAAAAAAACAATATCACTCTGAAATAAAGCAGCTCTTTGTCTAATTAAAAACAATATCAGCCTGAAATAAAGCAGCTCTTTGTCTAATTCAAAGGCTCTAAGGAGACAGAAGAAGGAAAAAGAAAAGACAGGGATAAATGCAACACAATTGTTGTCAAATACTAAGTAGTTAACACACGCAGTGTTGACTCAATTCATTTGAAGATAAAAAATCTTTCCACCACTCTTGTGTTAAAAATTTGGCATCAGATTTAACATCAGACCACTAACAGAGAGAAGGACTGGCCATTAACTGACAGTTCATTAACTCATAAATTAATCTATTAATTAATCTTAAGTTTAATTTTCCGTTTATAACAGTAGATAGTAAAGGTTAATAAACCTGAAGTATGAGCTAATATGTTGAAGTGATTTCCTCCTAGGCTAAAGCGTCAAAAAACTTTATAAAAAACCACAGTTGTTAATGATGGTATTTACAAACACACACACACAGATGGAGCAGGCGTCGCTCAGCTCCCAGCATTCATCAGCATTAGCTCACTGCAGTGAGAGCGAAGCTCGCTGCGCGACTCTAGAGGCTGAGTCCAAAGTGTGGGTGCGGGAGCGGGAGGAGTCGGCCTTAAGGATGGAGGCTCTAAGGCGGGACCACGAGCGGATGACGGCGCTGCAGCAGCGGCAGGAGGTGGAACTGGAGGAGCTGCTGGACAAACACTCTCAGCTGAGGAGCAGTAACCGCTGCCTGGAGGCCCAGTACAGGGAGCTGGAGGCCAGGTACAACATAACCTGACTGTATTAAAAGAGACTCTTTTATGAAGTGAAACACACCAAATTCTCACCACAGAGATTTGAACAGTCTTATATTTCTGTCTGCAGTCCTAAGAATAGAGAATCAGAGAAACAACACACAAACCCACAGACACTGCTTGCATCATTTAAAGATCCACAGGGTTTTTTTTTTCTTTTGTAGATTTGAAGTGATGTTTTTCTCTTTGCAATGTCAAGATACAAGGAGATCCTGGATCGTAAAACACAGATGGAGGAGAGGGAGCAGGAGATGAAGACACGGAGAGAGGAAATGGAGGCAGAGGCCCAAAGGAGGCTGGAGCCAGAACAAGAGCTGGAGAGGCTGAAAGAAGACAACGAGAGGTAAAGAAGTATCACATTCAGGAGACGGGCTCTCACTGCACTCATGTTCATTTGAATACACACAACAACAGCAGCAGCATTAACCCTCCGACTATCTGTGAATTATGATAAACAGCACAGGCTGAGTTTGAATGCAAATGTGATGTGGAGAGGCGGTTGGTGCTCGAAAGGCACAGAGCACAAAACATAAAAAAAAAGGAAAAAAGTTTCCTTCTTCAAGTACTGTTTCCAAAAAATTCCAACTCTAAAAGCATCGGGCACATTAGTTCAATTTACTGATTATAAAAATGATTAAAACATTCTGATCATAACACATGACTGTTTTTATGCTTCACAGAAGCCAAAACATTTAAGGGTTGAGAATAAACATGGAAAATTTATTACGTAAATTATGTAAATATGATCATGCAGGTAACAACAAACATATTTCTTAGTCAGTGTTCCCCAACCACGGTGCCATGAAACATTATTATCCAATTTTAGCTAATTTGTCTGAAAACTACTATTTGTTCACTGCAAATTGTTTGTTTCTGTTTGTCTCTGCAACAGTGACAATTAAATAGTCTTCTGTGTGTGTCTTTCTTCAATTCCTGCAATTATATATATATACTTTACTAAACTGTAAAGACTACGATCAAACACAGCCAAAGTCCATCCAATTATATACAGACACAAATGTAAGACATGAACATAGGTGAATCACCTCAGGTAGCAGCAGCAAGATGAGACAAAAAAAGAAAGTAGAACACAGCATGGAACAACCTAAGCTGATAAGAAGGATTGCAGGATGAGGGCTTTAATATTATTATTATTATTATTATTATTATTATTATTATTATTATTATTATTACCTGAATTAATTTATATCATAGCATTTTTACAACAAGTCTTAATAAATGTACAGTATCTGCTGAGCTGCTGTATCACGTATTTCACACTGAATCTTTCTGTACACTATTAACTGGAATTAAAAAGCTGTTTTCCAAATCTCCTTGAATCCACACTGGGAAAATAAAAATTATTTATTGCTGAATATTAACAAATTTTCCCCCTCAGTGATCATTATGAGCTTCATCTCATCTCATTACAGTTCTCATTACAAAATAAAACAAAGATGCCTACTTCTAAAAGGACTCATTTGCAAGCAATAGCCTGAAACCACAAAGTGACAGTGATGCACCGCGTCGTTCCTCAGCCATTGTGTCGGGGATAATGCTGGATGAATCTATTGGGTATTTTTTGGCTCATAAAGTAGAATGTGGCGTCCACTGTACTGAATGTCATCAGTTTGATTCACGGCGTCGCTGTATCTTGAAGTGTCCTTGAAGGCGACACTGAGCCCACGCACTGCTGTTGAGCGTGTGATGTTTGAAAGACAGAGAGGAGCAGCGTGAATGTGTGTGTCACGTGTGTGTGTGTGTGTGTGTCTATAAGGTTGGGAGTGAAGCTTTTTAAAATGCAGCCCGTTGACCGTTACAGTGACAGTGGTTAAGTAAAACGCCTGTGCGTGTCGGTGTCACAGGCTGCAGGCCCACCAGAAGGAGTGGCTGGCGTTGCAGACAGAGTTGTTGGCTCAGGGCTCCATGCTGAGGGGGGAGCTGAGCGCCTCCCAGCTGGAACGGACTCGACAGGAGGGGGAGCTCAGTGTCCTGAGGGAAACCAACCAGAGCCTGGACCTCAGCAACGCCCGGCTTACCAGCCAGTACCAGGTAATAACCAGACTCACACACACACACAGGTTCACAGGCATCTGAGCACTTCACATACACACTCACTAATCCTGACCCTAAATACATTGGATCCTAAATCTAATCCCAGCCCCAAAATAAACTGTGAACCTCAAAATGCCCTGTTCCTCAGTAGGAACCTGAAACAAACTACATAACTACATCTGGGAAACACACCTGCATATGTGCTGTACATTCTTTGTACAGTAAGTTTGTACAGTATATAAATACATGGTAAGTATACGTACTTACCATTTACCCAAATACTTCTATGTACTTATGTATATATGGCTGTTTGAAACTATTCAAAGTATTCAAAGTGTTATTGGACGATAACAGTTGTTTTTATTAGAATTTCATTGCCTGTTTTTATTGAGATCATTTTGCATAGACAGCATAAATCACATCACCAGTGTGAAACAGTGACTGGCTGATCCCTATAAGTTGATATAAACCTAATTTTGCCTTGACATATCTGAAAAAATGATATATTGGTCCAAACAGAGCATGAATACCAAGTAGCTAATAAGGCGCGGGAACATCTTTTGCCTGCAGAAGAGAATTTAGTCATCTGTGTAATGCTGCCAGTCAGTCGCTGAATACAGAACACTGTTTGATGGAGGAGTTTGTCTAAAGGCTAAAACAGGTAGAAACTGACCTCCTGTCGAGGCTTTAGGAACTCAACCAGCACAAATTTGTCTGGAATGGCTGGGAAATGCTTCATCCAGCCATTGGTAAAATCACTGCTTAAATCTGGATCCTGTCAGAGCTGGTGAAGTACTTTTAAATGTCTCCCAAATTTGTTTCAGTTTTTTTTAATACTACCCCTTTTTAACAAGATGCTCCTTTGATTCCACTCTTAATATCTGCTGACAATTTTGACGTTTGTGACATTTCTAGTCCTACTTTGCCTCTGTCCCAAACTTTATTTTGAGTGCCAAACTTTCCCAAGTTACGTCTAGTTATTATTATTATTAATAATACATTATAAAATATGTGTACTAAACCACATACTGCACCATGTTGTTTATAAATGCTTATCAGAGTCTTTTGGTTTCTCCAAGTCCAGGTTAATTCTCCAAGATTTAATTTGAAACTGAACTAAGCATCACACAAAGCCTTGTTAATGCAGGCAGCAGAAACCCGGTTCTACAGCTTCACTGTTATTTAATGCTGATATTATAGTGGCCTCAGATGTGGTGAAGTTGAGAAGCCACGCTGGACTTTTGTTTGGATTAAACCAAAAGATGTTGTTGATGTGTGAGCTTTAAAGAGTCTGGTCGGTGAATTTGGTTTTCTTCACACAGACTCAGGCTCTTTTGGCTTGATCCCTAGAGTGATCCAGAAAGCTGCTGGCTGACGCTTTATATTTACCACACAGACAAGATGGCGGGATTAGGTTGTCATAATATCGAGCTCCTGGCAAGAGAGACATTGGATGTTTTTCTTTTAAATATCAAAAGGTGAAAGAAGGAATTTTGAAATAGTCGAGGTAAACAGATAAAGTTTTCCTCTATCCTGTGTGAGAGAAAGTTACTCAGTTACTCAGTTACTCAGTTACCTCAGCATCTACAGTCGACGAGTCAATTCTTTGACTCCCCAGAGAATAAACACAACAGAGAAGAGTAGAAAAACAGCTGTATAATAATAATAATAATAATAATATTACTGTCAAAATTAACAGATTAATCAGATTGGAAATGTCAATGCATTTTAGCAGAATGAGACATTCAATAATTCCACCTTCTATCTGTCATTGCTCTAATACACATGTTGTTATTTACACACACTGTGTGAAAGAGCTTCTGTTTCATGAAGGACCTGAACCTGTTTGTTAAGGTTTAACCCTCAGTCAGAGAGCCAGCTCATGTCAGAGCAGCTGAGCTCAGGGCAGTGAGTACAGCTGACCAGCTGACCAGCTGACCAGCTGACCAGCTGACCAGCTGACTGACACATGGGCCAAACGGATTGCGAGAGACTTTAGAACGATTATTGTTGTGCCCAATGGCTTCAGGTTTGAAAGTAGCAACTCTCGACCTGTGCTACAAGCCACAGTCAAGATGCACAGTAATGACTAAAATACACTAAAGCCGAAACATGGGACAATGTTTTGTGTATATACTTTGTCTTTGGTCCAGAAATTAATAGACGTAATGTGTATTTTTGTGGCTTCTCAGCCTTTCTTGTTTTTTGTTTGTTTTGTTTTGAAGGAGGTGTTCTGTAAAGATACCAGACAGAGGGATGTGAGACTTCCTTTTTTTTGGCAACCTTTTTATTTTACTAATGGATGTTTACACATTAAAGAGATAAAAACGAATAAAACACCAGGTAACACATCATTAACTTCCCTGTTTGGCTGAGTGTGTTTAATGGTCGCATGTGAATGTTCTGCCCATGTGCTCATGGTTTGTTCTGTGTACAGTGGTTTCCTTCTGCAGACCAAAGACTTTGATCAATGATACATTAGAACTAAACAGATTTCCAAGCAAATGACTGCCCAACTACTGCGGTTATATGAAAAGAAAACATATCAGCCACTCACTGGGCTGTCATGCTGAACAACAAGCAGTCACCGGAAGCCGGTGCGTCCGCTCAGATTTAAAGGAAAATTTTACATTTTCTTATAATTAACCTGCTGCAGCTGGTGTGTTGAATTTATAGAAGCGTGTGTAATAAAGATAATTGGGAAAGGATTTACAAAGGGGAATTAAAAAAGGATGCCAGTAGCTCAGTAAACACAGGATCATCCACCTTTTGAGAACAACCAGTTTTAAAAGTAATTATCCTTCATGATGTTTATAAGTGTTTTTAGTCCTAATGAGCCCTTTCTTAGTGCCATTTATTTAAATAAAGAAGCGATGAAAGAATAACCTCAACGACCAACCATTCACTTGTTTTCATTGCTGTTTAAGCACCCAGTCAGTTGGCCTTGTGTACTTAAAAAGCTGCTTTTAATATTTTTTTATTTTTATTGCGACTGACTGACACTTGTGATCTTCACACATGCAGCTGTTGACGCAGCTGAAGGGGAACATGGAGGAGGAGAACCGACAGTTAGCGGAGCAGAACCAGAGCCTGCTGAAGGAGAACCGAGCCTTACTGGAGCAGAGCCTGGAGCCTGGAGCGTAGTGACCAGCACTATTTCCAGCAGAAAGAGTACCAGTGAGTGAACACACACAAACACACAGACGGCCGTGAGAGGGTTTGCTTAGGACGTAAATTATGTCTTGTAAATGTGACTTTTTTTTTTAATTAATTTGTTAATTTGTAGCAATGTGTAAGGTGAGTTGGAGAAAACCTCGTCTGAACCCGCTTCCAGGAAATGAGCATATGTAGAGGTTTTAAACTGCGTGATAAAATTTCACAGTAACAGAGCACTCAGCAGTCATTCTTTTTAAATGACTAATGCCCTGGAAGCAGATAAATCCAGAATTAGAAGTGAACACGCAGAGCTGGCTTTACCCCTCAATTATGAGTTGAAGGTTTAACGAATTGCATCTTTTAATTAGTTCATTTGCTGCTTTAAATTTTGTCTCAGATTCATAGAAGCCAAAGTCAATGTGAATATATTTTATATTTCACTTCAGTGCTCTCACAGGTCTGTAGATTCATACACACAGACCACTGTGTTCACCCTGTGAATATGAACGTTCTACTTAAACCTTTAAATTAAGGTTTTTGACAAGAAGACATGCAGATTTACATGTATTCCATCCTGTCATCGGATTAATTTCTCCCATTATTTCCAGATGATGATCAGGATTTCACTTTGCATAGAAAATGTACAAATCATCATTCTGACAATTAAAGTTCATGATACATGTTTCTAATAGAACTATTAGAGGAAGAACTTTTTTACCCAATACATGTTATAAAAAAATACTACAAAAGTTGCTGCATGTCCTTGATGCATTTACTATAACTCTCAGTAATGTGGTTATTAGTACTATAAATATAATATAATACTGCTGTAAATGTTGTTTCGATATAGAATTATGCAACAGCAAAACAATGTCCATGACTGTTATGAACTTTTGAATTTGGCCATGGTTGATATGTAGGGATTTTAAAATATATTTTGAATAAGGAGAAAATCCCAGCAGCTCCCTGATTGGCTGTATTTCTCCTGAATTGCTTGTATTGTATTCTCGCAGTCAAGCCTGAATTTGAATACCAAGGGCGCAAAGTGCATTTTATAGTAGTTTCCTTAAAACCTGAGTGTTTATTCTTGAGGCTCGGAGTATTTGAGCAGGAAATGTCCTTCTCTGTCCTGGTAAACTATTTATGTGAATGCAGCTAAACCCACCTCTAAATAATACATTTTTTAGAGAAGAGATGCTTTGAAATGGGTAAAAGGAGAGCTTTCAACCAATGTATTTTAACCCCTTCAGTATTAAGGCATTAAGCACCAAAAACATTACAATCCAGTATATTTGATTTTACATAAGTGTACACCACGGGAAGATGAAAACTACAAAGAAGATGACGTATCTTTATTTCTCTACTACATTATCTGTTTCTTTATCACTTTTCCTGCTACATAACATTTTAACATAAAATCCATTAAATATTATATTTCCAATCTGCTTCAGATTTTTTTTTAATAGCCTACAGTTGTAAATGTATATTTAAGATAAAGATGCCTCGTAAACACTTTATTTAGTTGGAGATTTAAGGACCGGGCTCAGTCAGCAGGTTCGGGCAGACTTATATTTTTATGTCCCAGTGACAGCTGTGGCCAGAGGCACTGAATTCTCTGACTGTCCATCCGTATGCATCCATTTGACTGTCATCACCAGGATATACCAGGAACGCCTGGAGGGAATATTCCTAAAATGTACCAGTTAAATATGTTAACTTGATCTCAAGAATGAATTTATTTGATATTTTACTCTCAGAATTTGTGATTTCCTACATTAGTGAAAGTTCATCCACCAATGTTTTGTGTTTTAATTAAAAGCCACGGCCAATAGTTTCTTCTACCTCAGGCCACATGTACTGTAACTGTAGACATTTGGATTTTCACTACATGTTCAGTGCTGGTTCCTAACACATCCTTAATGTAAAAATAACAAGGCCTAATCTAAATTACTATGAGTTTTAATTCATACAGTAACAACTGAATTATCCAATGTATCAGGTTGACTGACTGTAAACTGCACTGAGCTGAAACAGGGAGGTCTGTGGTGAAACCAGTCACTATGGCTGTACATTGGTATATCCACAGGGACTAAAAATATACAGCAGCTTAGAAAACTAATCTAATGTTCCATTTTTACCTGCTGACCTTTAGCTCATCTGCTCAAACGGCAGTGATCTCGTTGGGCCACAATTGTGTGTCGGTTACCATGTGAGCAGCACCGTTTGAGGTATTTTTACTCTGACTGTCACCCAAACCACAGCCCTGATCCAAAAATCCCTCTTTTATTCACCTCTCCTCTGGCCTGAGCCAGTTCAAAAAAAACCCCATCAGCACAGCTTGAATAAAGCTGAGAGAGAGTTGGATCACATGATATCTGACACAGTGATGGTGGACTTCATCAAACACACCTTTACTGACCCGTCATCGTTGTATATATCGTTGTATATGCTGTAATGGTCCCATGCTTCATTCTAATGCTTCACATGTTGTCCTTCAGGGAGAAGTTGACCGAACTAAGACGAGAGAAGCAGAAGTTGTTGGAGAAGATTATGGATCAGTACAGAGTCCTTGAGCCAAGCATGCAACCACCAACCCCCAAGGCCAAGTAATTTACAGATAATTTATTCATATTTATACGGTAGCTCTCTGTTTAAGATCCAACCATAAAAATATATGTATGCACTTATGTACACAACATCTTAAAGCAGCGGGTAATGACCTTAAAAATACAATGTTTCACAATTAGTCACACGTTAAGCCACTGGTGTAACATAGACGGAGAAAAGGATGAAACACTACAATCTGATAAAACGAAAAGAGAGAAAAAATATAAGCTACAAACGGCAGTCATAGAACTGTCCATGGTCCTGAAATAAAACTCAAAGAAATTCACTTTTTTTTTTTAGAATATGTTGAAAATTTCCATAAACACACCAACATCAACTATCTATAACGTAATAATTGTGGACAAATGCCATATGAATGTGTAGAAAAGGAGTTTTACCGAGACTTTAATTTCAATGAACAAATAATGGTTTCAGATATTTTAAAATACTGGTTTATGTCACATCTTGTGACCCCACGACTTTGACCAGAAATGTCCCATTTAAACATGATTTTTGTCTCACATTTTAAAAATAGATTCTGGTCACAGCCACTCGAAGAAAGTTCAGTGATTTTTAACTGAGACAAGTTAACAGAGAATTTGGATTCATTAGAGTGAAATCAAAATATATTTTAATGATTCACATCTCAGGTTTTGGTAACTTTAGCCTGAGTTTGGCTTTGGTTCTCAGCTGGTACAAGACAGCGCTGACCAGAATGTTTATGTCCTGCACTGGATTTAAGGCTTGGCCCAAAAGATGCTTAAAATGTGTAAAAGTGTGGGTTTGACAGCAGCAGATGATGCATTAAAACCTTCCATCACCTTTGGGACAAAACTGTCTGGGCCAAAAATGAGAGTTTCTGTTTTATTCCTATTTAATTGGAGAAAATTGTCAGTTTTTATAGGGTTATTGCGTTTAATGAGAATCAGGAGTTTGGAGATGTTCTGGTGTTGAAACAAAACAAGGAACTTAGTGTAATCTGCTGAAAAGTGGAATGGGGTTCTTTTGAAGTTTCTAATTAACAGCCTGAGCAGATTGAGAAACGGGGCGAACGGTACTGGGCCACGGCATCCATAGAATCTGCTTGCAGAGATTCTGTGGATGACGAGTGATTACCAACAGTAAGTGTGAAGGTTCTGTCTGACAGGAACGAGGAGAACCAATTTAAAACAGATCCACAAATGCCCACCCACTGCCTGAGCCTCTCAATTAAAATGTGGTGATTCACTGTATGGAAGGCAGCGGTGAGGTCTAATATAAAACCTAAAGCGGAGGATTTTCTCCTGCATCAGCCTGCGATATTAGGACACTTGAAAACTCTGTAAGGAAAAAATCAGACTGAAAATAAATTGTTGTGTTTCTCTGAAAAATCCTCTCACCTGCTGAGAGGCTGCTGTCGCTAAAGCTGAGAGGAGGCTGGCAGTCTGCCGTCTGACCAAGAATAGTTTGATTTTATTTAACAATACTGAGAAAGTTTTTTTTATGAAATACAACTGAAATCCTTTAAATAAACAGACAGAAGAAAAGGACCAAAGAGAGAGAAGGAAAAGGAGAGAGACAGGAGCGGGAGGGGGAGGGGGGACTTTGTACGTCCAGCTATTTAAAAAACAAATCCACCTGGGGCTAAGAGTTAATGTTCAACTTGGTTTGAAAGATAAACATTATATATATTTCAGATCCAAATTGCTACATATGGGCAAACACGTATGTTTGTATGTGGGATGGTACGGTGGACTAGCATTTATGCTAATAGGTTTTTCCATAGATTGTTTTATCAATTTGGAGAAATGTCTGTTTTTTACTGCAAGCACGGATGAAATTCCACCTGCAAAACTAAATTAGTTCAAATACTAAAATAGTAACTGATACTGTGTAGAAGTCAATCTCAATCAATAAGTTAAAAATAACTGACTAATGGATCAGTCAATTAGTCTTATCTTTTTTTTTACAGAAGGTGTATGGACTAAAGGCTGTCGATGTAAAAAAGGTTAACATTTTGTCTCAAAATAAACATAAACTGAAGATAATTTATTTATCAATCAATAAATTGATTGATAATTTTTATAGTAATGTAAAACATTAGACTGTACACAGTGGGTTATGATGTCCTGTCGAAAATAAAGGCTCACACACACACTGATTATCACACTCACACTCATCTCATTCCTCTTCATAAACGGTCCCCGTTCTCTCTGTTCTCACAGGAAATCTAACTGGATTGCAGACAGGATGAAGAAACTAATGAAACCTCGCGGAGGAGCAAGAGACGGACGAGCCCTCTTCATTGCTGCGGGCAGCGTGGAAAACCTGGCCGACAGCAGTGAATTTTCATCAGACACACACACACCTCAGACCGGTGAGTGCGCAGATCCACATCAGCCCTCGATGACCCCCAGCCTCTTCCACACAGGCACGCACTTGAACACACACGCAGGATTCTCACAGAGACGGGCTCACATGTTTAGCATAAAGCAAGGCTGGAGCCACAGATACAAATCATGTCATGACTGCTAAGTGTGGTCAGCAGTGATACCACAGTCTGCTCCCTGGGTTTAGAGCTCACAGAACCACAACGCCTGGTTCTCTCTGCTTTTTCTTGTCTTTCACATTGAAATGAGAGGATCTTGTGAAAGGCAGTTACGGAAAATGTTTTTTATGCATGCTCAGTTTTCAAGGTTGTGCATTGCAATATTAGGCTTCACTTGATAAACTAAACCATTTTCTCAGAGTAGACGAACATAGTGGACAACCTGAGCAACACAAACAATGGAAGGTTAATACAATAATTATTCTCCCACAGACAACAGAATATGGCCATGGAATTGATATAATGGCATGATGACATATATTAATGAAGCCTCTTGGCCATATGGTGGTATAATCTGAGAGACGTGTTTAAATTGTAGAATAATTGTCATCAGATCCTGTTGTATTCAGAATCTACTGAAAATACTGCTCTTGGCAAACGAAGAGTATGTAGTTCCCCTGCTTCCCCTGCTGGGGGAGCTATCAACGGTATTTCAAATGCCCTATTCCATTACGTAACAACAATTTCCATCAAAAATAAAACTAATCCTGTAGATACATAGGACGTGTAATATTTCAGAGACAAATGTTTCTTTAAGAAGGTCATGACATCATGACAGTCAGGTCTGAGTCAAAGGTCAAACCGCAGCAGAGCTAAGGCTGTACCCTGGGTTATAGCAGTACCACAGCGATGAACTGTGAAGCCGTACGCCTCTGATAAAGAACGTGAATATGCAATGCTGGTGAACCACCAATGTTTTAAAATGAAAATGTCATGAAGGGACACAGGAAAAAGAAACTGAAAACTTACATTTATCTCCTCCAACCAGTGCCACCCCTCAGCCCACTCCTGCGTCTTCTTCATCTTTTCTTTTTGGTTCTGGTTCTCTTTGGCCTTCCATCACTGTCAGTGCCTCAGTGGGTGACCTCCCTGCAGTAGAACACAATATTACTGATTAACTTTTTGTTTGCATAGCAGTTGAGAGAATAACTGTCAATAAAACAAGAAAACATTGATCTACGACTGACTGCACATCTCAGCTGAATTCTACTCCGAACACTGGACAGTGGGACACAGCAGTGAAGGCAGGTTCATGTGTAGGATTTAGTTGCTTAAAAATGCTTCTCATTCACCAGTATAGGTATGAGCACACACACACACACACACACACACACACACACACCATCATGAGCCATTTTCAGGGAATAATGTGCTGCTCAAGGTTGTTTGACATGTGGTCAGGAGGAGCCAGGATTCAAACCACTAACCCCATGATTAATGGTGAAGGAGCTCCACCATCTGAGGCACAGCCATGCACATTTCCTTAATTAATTTCTGCACCTGCCGCTGTGAGACTCGCTGGAAGTGAAACTGTGTTTGCACAGGAAGAGAAGGTCTTAGTTATGTTGTGTATGTTCTGCTGCGGAGGAAAATCTCAGGCAGATCAGACTCGTACCATCAACCTGAGGTCTAATGTCAGTATGATCTGAAGAAAGCAGAAATACAGCTGTTGTTTCTGTTTCTAACACGATAATTAACTAACGATAATTTAATTCCATTAACATGGCCTCAGATCCTCGCAGTGCTCCAGTTTCTCCAAGTCCCCTAAGAAAAGCTCGCTCACAGACTGAACCAGTCATTTCAGCACCAGGAACTCCAGCTTTGCCTTCTGCCTCTGGGGGCCGTCGGAAGTTGGGATCTCGTCACGGGTGGGGGCTGGGCTTGTCCAGAGGAGGCAGCGGAGTCTCCCAATCCTTCAGTCCTGGAGACAACAAAACACATCCTCGCCAAAGGCTGCGCTCCAGCCAAAACAACTCCACTGTCCTCTGGGAGAAGGAGAAAGGAGCGGCCAACGAGTGTCAGGAAGCAGAAGCAGAGCTGACCAATCAGGAAAGTGTTGAGGAGGAGGAGGAAAAGGAAGGTGAGGAAAAAGAAAAGTACAATAACGATTATTTCTCTAGCTGTCTGCTGAAATCGTGGAAGCTGGTTCCATCAGATTAGATTTTTGTGGTTTGGTATCGACTCTTCTTTATCGTTACGAGACACGTTTAGGAAGAACAACAAAAGATCTGAACTTTATTTTTCTGGAGTTGCCTGTAGGTGATGTCATCTCCTGATAACTCTGCTTGTAAATGACTTATCAAGAGCAATTGTTTGTCAGTGTGTGTGTGTCTGTGCTGTGAATCCATATATGTACTATCTACAGTATGATAATGAATACTGCAATATAACCTACTAATCAGTATTTCCCTTTGTTGTTTCAGAAAACCATGAGTTGAGGGATGACAGCGTGACGGACTGATCAAGACGTACAAACAAAAACAAGATGGAAAAAAGTGTTATATTGTGTTGTTTTGATGCCACAATTTTTATGTAGATGATGAAATCTTATTATTATTTTTTAAATAAACGAATGAATGCATAAATGATCACTCTTGCTTCTGTGTTTGCCTCAGGACTCAGTTTTCTGCTTGGGTGTCTTTAAATATTGTTATGATACAAAAGATGCACATTTTAAGAATAAGGTCAAAACTTCGTCAACCAAAATGTGAATGTTCTTTCATCACAACAAAAAGATGCAGACGAGGTTCATACAAAAGCCCACAGATCTGATCAGGGATAAGCACAGAGGAGGCCAGCCATCTGCCTCACATATGGCTGAAAAAACCCAGTTCATTTTTAGGATCCTGTGAAAATCCAGTCATTGATATAATGGCCAATGAGCTGTTGCTTAAATGAGGATCCTACTTAACTCTTAACTCTTGTACCACCAACCAGACCCCTGTCAACAGACAGACAGACAGATGGACGGAGAGGAGCTTATTAGCATGCAGCTTCCCCAAAGAGCAGACCTGAGAGTTCAGAGTGAAGCAAAGAGGCTCTCTCAGGAGACAGGCTGCTTCCGAAGGGTTTCTGTTTAAAATTTGAGGAGGATACATCACTGTTTCCCGTTCAGCCTGTTTTTTTTCCCCCTAAGAGTTTGAAGACAACACCGAGGATAATCACAGACCGCGGCTCTCTGCCTGTAGCCAGCCATCCCCAAACACATATCCTAAATTATGATTTGCAAGACAAATGGATCTCTAATACAATTCATGAATTATGTAGTTGTCATGGTGACATTAATCAAAAACCGAGGGCCTCTTCTCTGGGCTCCGAACATTGTGTTTGCTGAATTGAGATGCACGATGGAGGCTGCCGTAGAGCCGCCTGAGTGAGCACACGGCAAAGTGAAAGCAAGATATTGGTCCTGCCAGTCACTCAGGGGCTTATTATGAGTGCAATGCAACAATCACAGGTCCTCAGACAGGCGGACGGACAGACGGACGGACAGACGGACGGACAGACAGGCAGACAGACAGGCAGACAGACAGACAGGCAGGCAGACAGACAGACAGACAGGCAGACAGACAGACAGGCAGATAGACAGGCAGACAGACAGACAGGCAGACAGACAGGTAGTCAGACAGACAGGCAGACAGGCAGGCAGACAGGCAGACAGACAGACAGGCAGACAGACAGACAGGCAGGCAGACAAACAGGCAGACAGGCAGGCAGACAGGCAGACAGGCAGACAGACAGACAGACAGGCAGACAGGCAGGCAGACAGACAGGCAGACAGGCAGACAGACAGACAGACAGACAGACAGGCAGGCAGACAAACAGGCAGACAGGCAGACAGACAGACAGACAGACAGGCAGTCAGACAGACAGACAGGCAGACAGACAGGTAGTCAGACAGACAGGCAGCCAGACAGACAGACAGACAGGCAGACAGGCAGGCAGACAGGCAGGCAGACAGACAGACAGACAGACAGGCAGGCAGACAGGCAGGCAGACAGGCAGACAGACAGACAGACAGACAGGCAGACAGACAGACAGGCAGCCAGAGGGCAGAGGGCAGAGGTAAAGGCCTTAACTTCTCAGCAGGAGGACCCTCACGGTCAAACACAGTGACTTGTTCACCAGGTCAGTTTAACCTGCTTTATACCATCACTGCTTCAGAAGAGGTCTGAATGAAAATGATCAGGAATGGAGATTATTTGCGAAATGATTCTTGTTTATTTAGCAAAGACTTTGTTGTCTCTGTATTTTAAAAGATGACGTTGTCCCTGTGAGCATAAAATGAGTCAAAAAAAAAAAGACCTGGGAGGGAAAAATGAGAGAAAAGTCTTGGCACAAACTGAGTGATTAAGTGCCACATGGTCGCCTGATTCCAGGAGCAATGAATGATGGATGGCTGCCTCGGCCGACATCACTGCTGGGACGTATCAAGCCTGCTGAGCTGCTTAGTTATTGATTACAGGTGGAATCCCTAAAAAAAAAACCTACTTTGGAACATTTTGGGTCATCTACGTCCTGGCCAGGGTACATTCATCTCTCTCTCCATAGTCTACTCTCTTGGTTCCTCCATGGAGGTATTTCTGCCTGAACTGCCGATTCAAAAACCCTCTCTTTACCACTTTGGCTTTGTGTAAATCTCTCCTCATCATCCACTCAGACCGGTTACCTCCACTTCTTTCCTGGGCTATCAAATTTTAATGAGTGTCTCCTTAAAGAGCCCCCTGTGCCCAAAAAGCTCATTTAAACCAATTAGTCCACCGACTGAACAGGATGGACAACCCAAATACTGAGGAGTACTGTACACCAGTTCTTTATCTGCTGCATGTATTTAAGATAATCAAAATATCAAAACGTTCTCAAACAGACGTGTGATAATAAATGTCCCTTCAATTAGCCATAAAAATATTAAAAAGGTTTTTTTTGTAAAGAAATCAAATCAATTCCATAAAAGAAAGCACCAGTGTTGACGTTCCAGACCAGGTTTGGCCGGAGTTGTAGGATCTTTTGCCATTTGGCATTAAAGAAACCACATTATTATAACAGTGTAGAATATGGAGCACGGCAGACATCAGTCATTATAAAGAACTAGATTTTTTTTAAATTAAATTACACACACACACACACACATATATATATGAAGAAGACACTTGTCTGTCGGAGAGAATGTGTTGTGAAACAGATGATTGTTGTAATGAAAGCCAACCTCGCAGCCTCTGCCTCAACTTTGCAAAATGTTACATCATTGTCTCCCAGAGGAATTTCAGGAAAATTGTTATGGTTTTAAAAAGGCAGGGTTGACTTTTTTTTGGACTAGTATTGAAAAGATACAGCTGCACTGTGAAGCCTGGTGGTGGCAGCATCATGCTTTAGGGCTGGAGGGGTTTTTTTTTCCAGCTGCAACTGTAGCTTTGTACAGGTTGGAGGGAGTCGCACCTTGGAGGGATTTCAGAGATTTACCTTGGAAAGAAAGGCATGTTCGCAGAGCAACGTTAACTCCACCTGCAAGTAAACACTTTTATAAACACTGCTGTGGATTTGTTTCAGAGGAAAGAACAAGAAGAAAAAATGGACTAAAATATAAAATGCATTTTAACTTCCACCTTCCATCCACTCATCATCACAGAGTGTGAGGGAAGTGTTTTAATTTCACCAAAGACGTTCAGGTTTGTCACGGCCCACGTGGACAGCACACCTAAGTCAAATGTTATACAATGTTGCTCTGTGCTGCCAACAGAATCGAACATTATGAAGCATAAAGTAATACTGTCCATTTGTATTTGGTATGAGCTCCTACAGTCTACGACTGGAATAACTTCCTTCTTATTGGGACGCTGCGAAATGTAGGCTGGTGCTCCGAGGGTCAGGAGGTGAAATGAGATTTACCATTAAACCCTGTACTTCACTGAAACTTTATTTTTGGTTTAATGAAAAGTTGTAATATGAGGGCTGTTGTTGGTCATTCCACCCACAGCAGAGTTCCCTGGTGTGGCAGCGGGACAGGGAGGTGATCGCTGATCCAGAAGTGCTGCTGTAATTCAATTAATTATATTTTGCTCCAGGCCACAGAATCAGGGAGGGGACGGGGTAGGAAAATAACAAGTGCAATATGTCGGTGTGTGTGCGTGTTTGTGTGTCGACCAGCTGACCCTGCAACCTCTCCTCCTCGCAAAACTGTCAGAATCCCTGTGCCTCCACCGGGCTTTTACTCGATGAGGTTAAGCCCAAAGGTGAGTTCTATAGTTCATCCATAACCTCACTCCTCAGCCTCCACCCATCTCTCTTTCCTTTTCCTCTTTACCCCCCACCCCCTCCACCCCTCCTCTGCTTCATCACTCTTCTCTCCCTGCTCCGTTCAGGATCAGTCTTCTCATAACAGTTTGTCCCTGCAGCTCCCGTCCCACCACCTCCTCCTCCTCCTCCTCCTCCTCCCCCCTCGTGCACTCCCTTTCCCTCCCCAAGTGTATTACGGCGGCTTTGACGCTCTCAGTAAAAGCTGATTTATTCTCTGGGTGCTATCGATCGGTTTCTGCATTAAAGATTATAATTCATTACCCCAGCCCCTTTTAATACATTAAACACTCAAAATAAAAATAAAATAACCCCCGCCCTCCCAGACTCCCTGTGTCCTCAGGGTCCAGGGAAAACACTCCCTGGAGGAGACGCCCAGACTGTTGTCCTACTCCTGTTATGACGTGTGTCACAGAGAAAGTCACAGGAACACACTTTTGCCTTTGTGCACACATTTGTGCGGACGTGCAGGATAAACATCATAAAAACACCGTCAGTATACGAGAAGTCACAGAGAGTTTGTAAACAGTGAATAAACAGCACCGCAAGTCGAAAGGATCAGCAAAAAAATAGACTTTTTCAGTGCCTTATGAAGGCAGAAATCACGACGAGTCAGAAGTTTCGAAAAAAAGTGAGGGAGGAGGGTGAGAGGGTGAGAAAGGATAAAGGGGTGAGGATGGAGAAGACACATGGTAATAAAAATAACTCCCAGTAAGAGGATTGGGCTCGTTATCAGAGAATCACAGGCTGAAAGGGCGCAACGCCCCCTGGGACGGGTTGAACGCAAAGGACAAATTTTGTTGGTTCTCGTTTCTAACAATGAAGCTGATTCTTCTTCTAATATTTTCATCTCACGTCTCTATTAGATTTTACTGTTTGTCAGTGAGCCTCTGTGGGACAGTATCATGTGAGCCCTATTGATTTTGCCCAAAATATTTAGTCAAGTTCTCTGAAAAAAAAAACAACAACCCCCCACCCCTAAAAAACAAGAATGCCCTCCACCGCTGCCTTGACAAATTGATTTTGTATCTGAGCTGTGAGGACTTGAGGGGTAATCCCTCTGATTCCTCCTCACACTGTCACTCTGACCGACAATTTCCCTCTTCATCTTTGACTCTCCTCTTTCTCCTTGCATTAAAGGACTCCTCTACGTCCACGCTCCAACTTCCCTCTCCCCTTCTGGCCCCCCGTCTCCTACCTCCCCCACACCCCCTCTATCTCTCTTTCCCACTGACAGGCTTTCAGACAGTAAATCAGGGACATTGATCCAGTGCAGAGCACAAGTGTCCTGGATTCTG